CCGTACCTGCCCATCATTCCTCTCTCTTCCATTTTATTTCCATGCTATACAAAGACACCTGTCATAGCATTCTGTGTAAATTACTACCTCTCCCAGGACCTGTATCTACAGCCAATATTCTTTTACACTTTAAAAAAAAAAAAAAAAAGGGGGGGGGGGGAGGGGAGAAAAAAAAAAACAACGAAACCCGGAAACCAAATGACTACTGTAGACACTCTTAAGTTCCCTGTCAATCGTTTCATTATAGCAGCATCATCTGTTTGAAAATATAAGCAATTCCCTCATCTAATTATAGGGAGGATTTGAGGTTCATTAACATTGCCAAGGCAGAGAATCAGATGTGCAACTGCAGAGCTGTGCTCAGTGGCCTGCATTCTCCGTTTCCTTTTATTTGCTTTTTCAAGGTCTCCAAGACTTTTTCCTGAAACCATAAAAGTAATTCTTTCCTTCAAAATAGACACGTGTGTTTAGAAAAAGGAAATGACCGCATTTTGTACTGTTCTATTATTGGGCAAGGTCACTGGAGAAAAATAATTTCACCTAAATAATTTTATCTCTGATTCTGGATGAAAAAAAAAGAATAATAGTATGCAAACAACCGTTACTTTTGAACAACAGATCACAGGAAACCTTGTGTTTGTCTCATAATTTTAAATATTGCAAGGTAATGCGGATGAATAGGAAACATAACATGCCAGGAAAACCTCTTAATTTTCAACACATTTTGTGGTTGTTTATGGATTAACGTGCTAGCCAAGTGTAAAATGTTGCCTTGTATTTCCTAACTGTGTTTAGAAACTGAGAGCACCAAAGTCTTCATGATTGCTTCACTTCCTTAAAGAAATAATAGCAATTTTTTTTTTGTATGAATGTAGTTTAAACAATGACATTTTCTTGGGACATCTGTTTTGAGATCACATTTTGAATAGATATGAACTCATTTCCTACTAAGCAAGTAATTTACTATTGTTGATAGTTGTTTACAAGTTTTATGAGTCAGATTATAGCAAGTGGCAAAGGTCTTTACAAATCCTTTGAGTATTCCCTAAAGTATATGCATAGTGTTTTCACTACATAAAATGTTCGGGAAGCAAAGTATATGGACTGTTCTTCACTTCCTACCAAGTTACAGATAGCAAAGCCTAGCTCGCAGAAATAGCTTTAAACATATTTATTTTCAAAGGCTTGTATCTTCTGCAGCTGCAGGTTAAAGAAGTATGATAGCAGGGTAGTAAGAACTTAAGCAGCAAGGAAATAACTGAGTTGCTCTACCTACCCATTGCTTCAGAGCATTATATGGTACATATGTAACTGATCCTAACATCATCCTAAGATGTTAATATGACAAGTAGAACCTCTTTAATGAAACTTAAAGTTTGACCTTGTCAGTGTCGTTCTTTTAATTCTGCAATTAAATTAAAAAAACCCCAACACACAGCATAATCTTCTTTTTGTTTGCTGCCATACGGTATTCATTTTTTAAACAAAAAAACAATTATTTATCCTGCATGTTGTATGTAGAATTGCCACTAAAAAGAACCCAGGACATTTTTCCTTCTTATCTGCAGTGTAGCTCATATCAGCCAAGCTGTCACAAGACAGTACTTGATATAAACAAGAGATTGCAAAGACATCTCAGTAATCAATATTAGGATGGCTACAGTATGGAAGCCCCAACCACTGCATATCATTTGTCTCAGCATCTATTTCTATGACCAAATGAAGCATTAATTCAAATCATAAATCTATGGTGATTTAAATCTGGGAATGAGCACCTGCCTGCTTTAATGATTTATTTTGTACATTTCAGTAAGCAGGAGATTTGTCCATATGAACTGACAGGTCACCTTCAGATGCCAGTAGCAGACTGTTTATCACCATGCAGACTAGCATCTCATCTTAGCAAGTAAATATTAAACTAAAAGAATCCAATTGATTGTGGATGGGGGAGAAAGGCGTTGCAGCCATATATTTTACTCAGTGTGCTAATACCTCACCCTGATTCCTCTGTAATTTCTTTTTTTTTTCTTCTTTTTTTTCCCCCTTCTGAAATGATAATTCTGGTGGGAGGATGCAAGGTCAAGGTTACCACACAAAACTGAGGGATATAAAATAATTACTTATTAGTATCATTGGCTTCCTTTAACTCCCTTCACTCACTAATGTTTTGGCCATTGCTTCAAAGGACCAAGTTAATAAATTTGTGGAGTGCTCTGTATAATTAATTATACAATGCTCATCTACAAAAACGACTTCCTATAATTCATATTAAGCAACTGATTAAAACCAAAAAGCAAGGCAATTCAGAAGTAAACCTGACAATTCAACTCAAGAGCCCATATTTTATTTATCTTCTTTTACATAGGCATTGGAACAGCCTAAGAACATGATATAATCAATGCATGTACACTAATATACCATAATGCCTGTTACATTTGGGCTAAGATCTATCAGTTAAGCTTTTAGCCTGGTTGGTTAGTTTGTTTGTTCATTTTCAGTTTGGTCAGGCACATAACATAATTTAAAATATAAACCAAAATCAGGTTATTTTCCTTTGTTTTATTCCTTCTTCCTGTCAACACTCAGTAATGTAGTATTTCAAATTCATGCCTAACAAGCCATAATTTAAAACATTAATGGTATATGGACTTGATAATATTTATTTGAAAAGACATAAATAAACATCTGAAAAAAATGCAGGGGGGAAAAAAGCACACACCTACTACAAAGGAACACCTTTGAAATACGAGTTCTTGTCAAGATAATACAATATGCTAATTTTCAAAAATGCAACTAATAAATAGAGGCTTAACTCTTAATGAACCTAATAATACCCTGGCAGTAGGGTAGTAGCAGTAGGAATCACTTCTCTGATTCCATAGGCGTAACTGACACTGGACACTAGGTAGGGTTCACTATAAAAGAAACAAATAAATGCAAACTATTTTTGAGAAAACCTCCTTAGGAAGAGTATAGCTCAAGACTGGATGCACAGACAAGCACACTGTATTTCCAGAACCATTCCTCATGGAATGGAGACAACTGGAATGCTATTCACTCTGCTCAGAAGAGCCATTTTTTTCTGAACAAAATTGATTCAATTCTTCATTCAATTAAATCAGGAAACTAACTGAAGTTAACAAGTAAGTTAAGGGGCTGAGAGGAAATTTTGACAATGATAATAAATAATCTTGCTTCGCTAACTTTGCACTACTAAAATAGCTAGATTATATTTTCTTAAACAGGGAGAATTATTAAACTGTGTAAAAGCAGATTAGCTACCTAAATTATGTCTCAAACAATGATTTTAAAAGATTTTTTCTTTTTTAGTCAATTAAAATTCAGATATTCCTTCCATCCACTCTCCTACTAATACTTCATGTAGTTTACATGTTGATTGCCTGTTAACTTTTCCATTTCCATGGAGGCACAAGTGGTTTGTCACTGGAACTGCCCAGCAGAATAATAGTTCCATAACCCAATATTTGACAATTTATTTCACATAATGCATTCATCTAAGTCTGAAATTCAAATCTAAACTAGCTTCTAGTTCTAGTACAGACTCTTCATCCTCCCAGTTTACACTTAAACTTTTCACTCTTTCTCATTACTTCACTTTTCTTCCTGTACGTTAGGGGCCACTTGGTCCTTCCGCTTCATTTGTACCTATCTCCTCCTCCTAGATTTCAAAAACACCTGCTCTCTAACCCCTCTTGTCCTCTCCAAGAGGACAGTCTTTCCACTAATACTCTAGTGACTGCACATGTTGGTATCTGAGTACTAACACACTCATATAAGACTATTTTCTTTGCCATCACAGAGGGATTTTTTTAAGCCTTTCTTTAAAAGGAGAACAAAAATCTGGTCATCTCCTTATGCAGTAATGCATACATATTGTTGTTATTTAAAATAGCATGTGCCTAGGTGAACCAGTTCTTTGAACTGCAATTCACATTATTTCTAAATAATAGCCTACCGATGCCTACTGAACTGTACAGAAATGCTGTTCACAAACACATATTTATTTATGTTAAGGCTAGTACATAACTCTCTAAGACTCATTTCAAATGTATTTAGGAGATGAAAAGCTAAAAAATAAACAAAACTAAACCAAAGAGCCAAAATAAAAACAAACAAAAAAATCCCTATCTTAAGCCATTTTATTCCAATATACACCAATCTTGCCTGCAGTCTTCTGAACGTACCTCTTTGTCATTGAATTTCTGTTGCTGAGTTAATACTGTCTCAACATGATAAAAGGAGCCAATACAATGAAATGGCATAACAAAACATTTTACAGCAGACACACACAGATGATTAAAGATTTAATCAACAACAACAAAAAGTTATTCTAGCTTTGAAGTATGCTTTAGCAAAACAAATTGTCCAAACAAATGAATAAAGTATACCAAAACAATTCTTTTTTGAGAAAGAACAAGAGTTGCTGATGGCTGCTTAAGAAATGGAAAAACCTGTTAACTACATTTTAAGAATGTGTTTATTAAAATAAAATATGATAGGAACTGCAGAGCATGGCAATAATTTATTGTGTATGTATGTTTTCCTTTTGTCACAGGGCACATGAAAGTATGAAATATTTTGCTTTCAAGCTTGTGTTCTGAATTACCTAAAGTCGATACCCAGCACACTGAGCAGGAGACATTGTTAAATTTCACTTTGACACCATCATCTGTCACCCCACCTGTACTTTGAAAAATGAACTCTAAGCAATCAAACCACTTTCTTTCATGGAAAATATTAACTGGAGTCTGCAAAAGTAACCTGCAAAGGAAAGAATGTTTTTATGATAGTAACAACAACGCTGAATGCTGGTGTAAAGGTCAGATGCAAAATAAAACTAAACACAGTAAGAAAAGGAAAACAAATATGCAACTTTTTACACCAAATCAAGGACTTCAGAAGGAAGTCCAGAAGGATGACCATTTTAATAAAATATCAGAGCATTATGGACATACAATAATGCTGTGTCTCAGACTTACCAACACTTGAATTCAGATCTCCATTTTCAGAGTCTGCTCCATGCTGGTTATTATTTGCATGATAGTTGGACATAGCTTCCAATTTAATTTTTTTCACTTTCATTGCTTCTGCTATGGCGGCGTTGGTGGCAGCTGCTGCTGCTGCAGCTGCTGCTGTCAGGCCTGCAAAGAAGTATGAACAAAATTTAATATACATTTTTCTATGATTCTTCATTATTGTAGGGACTAAGACTCTTACTCTTCCTTCATGCTTGCTACGTAACAAACAGAGAACATTGCAGAATATTATTCCTCGTTAGATTTGAAAGCTACCAGTTTTTTCAAGTAAAATGTTTCACATCGTATTTAGATAGTTACTCCTATATATCCACCTAAATCTTAACTTGGTATCCAGTAACTGCAGTCATAATACAATCATAACTAAGTGCAACTACAAATACACTTTCAGAAATCTAACTTAGCTTCGAATTGGTGTCTGAAGTGTCTGGCTATGAACAGGTGAACATGTACATAACTGTATTTCGGAAAACAAAACCCTTTAGATCTCAAATGTTTGACATGCTAAAGAAAACAGAAAAAACAGGTATATAATTTCTATTTATGAGTAACAGATGAAAGAACTCAAGACATTTATTTCTCATTTCACACATAACAGCAAGGAGATGTGGTCATTTTAGGAAGCGTTCTTAGAAGAAAGGTTAGTAATGCAGAACATCAGTAAAATACTTCTTTTGTTTTCCCCAGACTTCAAGTCATTAAGGTATTTATCAATGAGAAGAGGAATTACTAAACACATTTGATCCTAATCCCAAAGCCACCTTCAGGCAATCCAAGTGCTCTTCCTACCAAACCAAATTTCTGCCATCTAGCCATTTACAAGAATGTTCTACAAAAATGAGAAAACTTCTCTTTGTCAAAAGCAATTAGAGAAATGGTCCAGGAATAGCTTCAAAACTCAAAATTAGATACAGCTTTTAATCAAAGTCACAAGCATTAAGTTTTTGCCCTCTTCCCTGAGGCAGGATAATTCTTCTGCGGTCCCCAAACTGTGCTGCTACCCACTCGGATCCCTTTGCCGCAGCCTGGGTGGTAGCAGAGAGAAGTCAGTGTCAAAACTTCACAAGAGCTGTCTACCCCACACGATTGATCCAGGGGGGAAAGATGGAAATTAAAGAGAATTAAACGTAAGAAATTAAAGAGAAGGCATTAAACCAGCTAAGTTTTATTCAATTACACAATCTCAGTCCTCAGTCTGTGATGCCACAAGAGGAGAACATACCCTTAGTCATTTTGAATCAACATTCTTGCCCTGACCATCGAGAAGGCTTGAAAAAACTCAGTGTAACTACTTTAAAGGTGCCTGCTTGTCTGATTTTCAGCTACTCTGAGAGGTGTGAAGTGTCTTATGGATCTCAAGAGGAATTAACTCCACAACTTACTATTCCAGCGGGCCAAGGCTGCTGCCCAGCATAGGAGGAGTGCAATTTAGCAGGAAAGACCAAATAAGCAAATAATCCCAGGCTGCTGAGGTAAATATTGCTATTACCACTGCTTCCAAGGGCCTCTTGTTGTCCCCTTTGCCTCCTTAAATGGCAAATGCATTCACTCTTGCCATGTTTTTGGCTAGCCATAGGGAGGGACAGAAGGCAAAATCCAGCGGGGGGGAAGGCAGAAGGTGAATGGACATCAGGAAAGCAATGAGATGGCGTTAAGAGGTGCCTCTGAATATATTATGGCTTGACTCAAGGTTGCTCTCCCTTATTTCTTTGCATGACCACATAAAGATTAGCAAACAGTTTCAGCCTCCCAACACTCCTCACAGGCTGACTTCTAACACCTCCAAGTGCAACGAGAATTACCAAGTATGTGATAATTACATTCTGCATAGGCAGAACAATATCACTTAGAAAACTGCTATTTCAGGTAGACGAAGATGTACCAAGAGCCAAAAATCAAATCAGAAGGTGGATAAATACGACGGTTTAATTTTATTTTAGCTTCTGCTACAATTACAAATTGTGCATGTTCTGATCTTAAGAAGGTATTGACAATAACATGGATTGCTTCCAATGATATTTTTAACTTAGAGGAAGGATATGAAGTTATACATTATACAAATTTGGTTACAGTCCCTAAATTAGGCCACAGAAAAAGGGATGGTGCACCTCTGAACTTTGGTTTGCATCCTGTGTTCATGAAACAATACAATAACCTATACTTCCTTTTTTTATATACATCACTGACAAGCTAAAACTAGCATCTTTAAAGAACAATCCTTTGGAGGAATATTCAAATACAATATAACCAATGAATACAACAGCAGGCCTCAAACCTTTGGCTGTGACTCCACTTCCAGACCAGTAGTTCTTAAGTACTTCCAAGTATTAAGTGTAAATACCTCATTAAACAGACACTGGACATAGGACTTGAGAGCCCACCTGTAAATACTACGTCTCACTGGGGTAATGACCTGGTTGCAGAACCACTAAAATACAAACTCTCTTTTGCTACAAAATTTGCAAAAAAGCATGCTTTGGTGCTCTCTCCAAAGCAAGATATAATGCTTCTCTCCAGAGGAAGCCATACCTTTGGATAGGGACTGGAAAACTAAAATACAGATTGCTTGGTTCTTTACTGTGATTTTTTCAAGATAATGCTTCTGATAACAAGTGATAACTTAAAAAAAGCAGAAATTAAACTTCTAATTTCACTCCTCCTTTCATACAACCACACAAGCAATTGAAATGATTACTTTACTGTACAGCAATTAATTTATATACAAATCTGAAATGTGTGTCTCGTATAAGCACCGGTGTAAGGGGGGGGGGAACGCAAGCAAGTAATAATCCTCAAAATTATAGGTTAATGCCATTCCTCACAGCAATTCCAGCCTACAGCACAGTTTCTGCTTTACTGCTATCACTAGACTGTCATGATAGAGCAAAGCAAGTAGCACGGAAGATCCCGAGCCAGTTACTAGAGCCCCTTGCATTATAATCACTGGTGCACTGTGGTATATTGTGGTAAGGTACAAGACAACACCTTCTCTCTAGCACAGAGCCCGACTTATCTCACTTATCTCATTAGCAAAGGCAGCCAAATATATTATAAACAGAGGAGGTTAATAAGCTGCTATATGTATATCTATATGTGTATTTTAAAATTCCAAACTTTAAAGTTCAGGTATGTGTATATACTTAGGTAAATACATGGGATTTTTTTTTTAATTGGTTGTTCAAGAAAGCCTTTTGACCTAAGCATTATTTAATATCACTTTACTCTTACAACAAGTAGCTAAGGAATTTCCAAGGTGCACACTTTTCATTAAAGAAATTTTATCTTCAAAAATGAGATAACCAGAAGTCATCTATAAAGGCAACTGAAATGGAAGAAATAATAAGGATCACACTTAGGAAGGAACAGCCACTTAGATATTTTTTTATTCTTTACAAATATTTATTAGAACAGTTAAAAAGTTTCCAGGCCAAAATATTCAATGGATTAAAGTCAATAGTAGTTGTCATTAATATTCTGAAATTGATAGTTGTTTATGTCTGGCATTCTTCCTGCTGATTATGCAGTGAGACAGGCAGCTTTATAAATATCTCATCACTCCATCGTCACACAAATTTCATCGACAGTGCTCATGCACAGCTATTAGCAATATGAATCTAACCATTACAAGAGGAAAGAAAATCGAACATGTGGCATTAATACGCAGTCCTGGTTCCTAACCATCTGATAGGCAGATGGTGTAAAGCGGATTCTCCAGCTGAAATGAAGGGGCACATCATTTAAAACCTTGTTTGCATTCTAACTGATATCAGTGCCATATTGATATACATGATACATCATGGCAGTATTTGAACAATCTAGTTTGTTTCAGTCATAAATGTTTACAGCCTTGTTTTTTATCTTTAGAAGCATGTTCTGAAGAGCGTATTTTTAATTTATGAAACCTATTGTTTACTTCTGTTGAACCAGAAGATTAGCGAAGAGCAGGAATATTAAATTACCACAACCACAGCAGTATAACTAAGATGGATGAATAAAGTATGGGTTTTCAATAAAAGATGTTAGTAAAGGAATTAAAAAATTAGCCTAGACATTTTATGCATTAAATACATTTATTCATTTAAACCTTACAGCTTTTTTCCCATGTGACATACTTAGAACTTTAATGCTTTATGAAGCTATTCATTTAAATCTCTTACTGCGTGCAATTAATCTTGTCCAACAATTTAATTCAAAAAGCAAAACATCAGAAAGTAAAGTTCAATTCAACCATCACGCTTCTGAAGTAATCTCCGTATTGCTGACAGTTCCTATAGACTCATCAGCAAAAGTCTGTTCAAGGTGTCTTGTAGGAGCCATATGAATTTGAATTACAGCTCAATTGAAAGCTCTCCAAGCCTTAGTAGGAACTCAGGAACAAGAAGCAGAACACCAAAAGAAAGCGTGAATGATCCTTTCCTACAAAGACCTTCTCTCTTCTGTCACTAGATTACTTTGGCCTGTTGGGTGTGTTTGTAGCTGTTAATTATGTTAATAAAGTTGCAGCCTGCTGCCTCTGCCAAATATAATCATAAGCTTTCTCCTGCCAAGTTCTAGTCTAATTTACACCCATGCAACTCTGCTGAAGTCAGAATTTCGTGGGTGAGAATGAGACCAGAAGTATGCCCAGTATGTGTGGTCTTTAATGCTGAAAAACTAGTGAATGAAATGGAAAACAATGACAAAAACCATACCGTCTTCAGAAAACAATTCTGTTTTAAAAGCAAAATGCCCAAGAGAGCTGTCATATATCATGACAGATTTTCAAAATGTGTATGAATTACTGGTGGGCACTAAATCACATCCAGGGTTTCTGCCTTCCAACAAATACTATTCCCTGCCTTAAGAGAGAGCTCTTAAAACTTTCAGTTTTGATGGCATGAGCAGCTTACAACACATCCCATTACTGAAGGAAAAAAGAAAAAGAACGATGAGTGTAACTTTTTCAGCCTCAAGTATGTCTCAAAATACACACTTGTGAATTTTATGCCTAAACTTGGTCCTGGGACAACTTACAGTTATTTAAGTAATTGATCTTAATTCACTTTTAACTTCCTTCTCATAACTATTTCTACTAG